TCACAATTGGCACATTGAGTTTAATTTTAAATGGTTTGCACAGACCATATGATTTCTGTTATAATAATGTAGTAGAGTAGAGAATGTCTGTATGTTTTCAGTATATGTATGTTACGTGATATCTTCATCAATTTTGCAGATACCGATTTTCATACCTACATTATCATTTTTACAGTTAATACAAAATCCAGACTCATGTATACATACATACATACGTCACGGGGCGTTCTCTCATAATGATTTCAAAACAGATAAGCACATTTGCACACTAAGTTTACTTTTAAATGAGGCAGGTGTAGGTACCTATCGACTGCTTATATACCTATTACTTGTTCAAAATTAACACGTGTCGGTATGCATTGAATTAATTTTTCTTCTAAGTTTCAATGGGTGAATGGGAATTTTATCTGCAATATTATAATAACCAAGTATTTACTGAACCATATCTGTTCAAGGAAAATGAGAAAGCACAATGGTACGCCATGTGAGCCATTATAACGGTGGCATTGATAAACGATTTTGTGCGTGATGTCATAGTTTGAGGAATTCCACTAGCTAATGTTCTTAAAGGCAACAAGAAAGCGTTAGTTAATAGTTGTATTCTTGGCATTTCTCGGAGTTTATATAATGAAATAGAACAAAGTGGAAATTTGGTTTATTTGAAAATTGTCTTTGTCTAGTATTGTGAAGATTTTTAAGTGCATTCCAAACTGCGGGAGTCATGCTTTTCCATTAGTCCCACTTATTATTATTTACCCATTTTTTTTATCTATTATACTAAAATCCTTTAATAGCTTCCATTTAGCGGGTCGGTGGATCAGTCGATAGCGGCATCGTTTCTTAACGATCGTCGGTTTCTTAATTTTAATTCCCTATAAAAATTCGACAAAAAGTTAATGTCCATCCGGACGAGGAGCGCTGCGGAGTTAGCGGGCCGAGGGGCGAGGGTGGAGGCTTCGGCAACGCGGTAGCGGCAGCCGATTATCCGGCGATAAGAAACAACTTTTTGATTTATGAAGAAAGCTCAAGAGGCGGCTACTGGGCGCCGCGCTGCGCGACTCCTCTGCCCGATGCATTTTAGTGATGGCAAAATAAATCTGCCTCGCATCGAATAAATATTGTCTAAGAAACCTATTTACTGTTTAATGATTTTTTTTTTTTTAATTATAAACCTAGCTCTTATTTGCCCTATTTGCTACTTACTAAGATAACAAATATAATATTTTGTGAAGATGTTCGGATGTTTATTACTCAGATATTTAGTCAGACACCTACGATTGGAAAAAGGTTTTTTTTCAGAACTTGTTTCATAAAACTATGTTGCATCAAAAAAATATTCTAATTCATTATGCATGAGATTTGTTTCTCTATATAAATTACATATATAAAATATAAGGATAGTAGACCTGCCAATAAATTAGGTATAATTAAGCATTAACTGATTGACATTTTCATTTTTATAGAATGACTGCATCACAAAATATTCACGTGAACATATAAACAGCGCCGTATACACATAAATGTTATTTAAATTACATGTTGATTGTCGACAGGTGTTACAGACAGCACTAGCGGGGAGTCGACAAGTTCGTCGAGATTTTGAAACATATGTAAATTAGGCAGCCGGTGTGCGGCGACAGAACAAAGGCGCCGACTTAAACCACTAGCACCCAAGCCTTTTATTTGCTACGGTTTATTTTATACATAGTACCTATGTATTTATAATTTAATTTCCATAAATATAAATGTTGGTAACATACTGCATGATTTTATTTTTTTTATTTCCACTAACAGTGGTCAGTAACGTTTAGAATTTTATTGAAATCAATCTCTCATAATCTTCCTCAGCTATTTTCAGGTATATTTCTATTTTCTTTACTAGAAGTTAAAGAGGTACCAAAAATTATAAAATAAGCCCATTTTAGTCGAAGTGAGTAGGGGTTTTATTTGCACATTCTGATTTTAAATATGAATAAAAACACCATTCCCTACTCTTCCAAAATTTGTTAAGCGAAAAATCTAAAATATTCCTACGATGCCCTCTCTGTGTGAGTTCAACTCGCATTTGACCAATTTTATTCAGTTTATTTTATATTACTATATACTATTTTATTTAGATTGTATTAGATTTACATACAGTACTTTTTGGGAATCATTCACTCATTGCGCAAAGCAAAAACAAGAACTATTTAAGCAGAGAAATAGGAGTAAACCTTATAGATGTCTTTTCATAAAAAAGTTAAACTTGCGATAGACAGGTATTCAATACATGTTACTGCAAAAGCGTGTATTTTGTTTACACATAAACAGATGTTATCTGTTTATATGTAAACAAAATTAAAAAGGTCTTATTTAAAATAAAAGGTATTTAAAGTAAAAAAAAAAAAAAATTACCATAATTTATAGATTTTGACACATAATATTACAAATAAATGTTATTATTTGACTTTATTCGCTTAGATAGAGTTTTATTAAACATTGTTTCAATAAATAGTGTCTTAAATTATTTTTGTGATAAGATCTTAGATAAGTAACAAAACCTTATTAAATTTTTAGATCTACGTATATCTGAATTAATAATACAAATGTCAATGTCAATTTGTTATCTCTTAACGTTTTATAGTATCTGGCATGAAATTTAGTATTGGCGTAATATTTGGGATGGAAAGGACATAGACCACTTTTTAATCCGGGTCTTTATCAGTCAGTGTCAGTTAGCTCATCGTGTAGAATTTAATAAGAAATAACCATGATGATTTACAGTTTCCAAGAACTGCGTGGAGGTCGACCTGATAGGATATATTGTTAACAATGGGACCCCGTTTCTAGCAATTCCTTTCTCCCTTTTTATCCGGTTTAATCAATATACCAGCTACGAGGTTCATCCTCATTGTAGATAAAACCTACTTTTATAATGTACTAGTTTTTACTGTGATTGGGATATGTTTACTGGTAGAGATAAAAGGTAGCCTACCTCCTTCCCTATCTCATATAATAAGTGTATACCAAATCTTAAAGTAGTTAAGCTATTATCGCTATAAGGTAACAAACATATAAACTCACTTTTACATTTATAATACTAAGTAAGGTTTGCATTTTACTGTAGAACCTATTCAAATATTGAACTCATGGAGTAGTCAAATTGGTTAAGTAAACAATTTTACTATTCTCTGGCGCCACAAAAATGCAACCTTCTTAACGTTTGAAAGTATTAGTATTAAGGCCAAATATCAAGTAAATTAAAGTTATCAACACAAGAATTAAACATTTATATTTTAACATGTCTTTTTAGTCTAGAGTAATTAATTCCAGGTGAATTCATCACGATAGACTAAGTGACCTAAATTTTCATTTTCACCTATTATTCCCAAGGAGTATATAATACAATTATTCATCACCTATCTATCTATTTAAGAGCTGCGCTCTTGTCGGTGGAGCTCTTGCCACTCACTACGATTTTCAGCGAGTCTCTTCACCTCTTGATACGACACGACACCAACTCCTTCCTTGATCTGCCTGATGCAACTATGTCTCGGTCTCCTTCTCGCCCTCCTTCCTTCTATCTTACCTTCTATTATAATGTTCATAAGTTCGTCGTGTCGTATCAAGTGTCCCAACATTTTTCCCCTTCTGTCCTCAATAGTTCTAATAATTTGTCTTTTTTCCTTAACCCTAAGCAGGACCTCCTCATTGCTAATTCGATCTCTCCAGCTAATTTTCTCCATCCTTCTCCAGCACCAAATTTCGAAGACTCTAAGTTTATCCATTTCCTTCTGAGTTAATGTCCACGTCTCACATCCATACTGAGCTATACTCCAGATATAGGTTTTGATAAGCCGCTTTCTAATATCTTTTGTTATCTTAGCCTGTAAAAGGTTTTTTTTGTTATTGAAGGCTTGTTTGGCCATGGCTATTCTCGTGACTACATCAGGATTACATCTGGAATCACTTGTAATTAAACTGCCTAAATATTTAAATGTATTTACTCATTACCAATTACAAAAAATCATAATTCGCATCTGGCAATTCGGCAAGTGGTAAACAGCAATTGCCAGATTCTTTTTTAAATTTTGAGCAAAAAATAACTGCGAAATTTTGGAAAAATGAAAATTTCTGCGAAAAATGAATTTCTTAGATAAAAGAGAAATAGCCTTGGAGAAATTTGGGTAATTGTTTTAAATAATTTTGGCACTTGTAAACTGTATAGAGATATATAAATACGATAAAATATACGAAAGAAGGTGAGAAACAGAGAGTGTTATAGGAGAAAAAAGAAGATAGTAAGATAAGCTAGAAATAGAAACGAAAAGAATGTTTTTTAAATATAAATTAATCTACATTTTTTCTTTTTGTTTTATTTTTCGTCATTTACTTTGTGGCGTGTTATAGCAAAATGAAGTGAAAAAGGTAAAAATTATTAGGTCAGGATTTTATAAGAATTTTTATTTTTACCTAAACATTAAATATTTTTCTCTAAACACATACGAATTGATTTCCAGAAATCTGACCTACTCACAACTTTATATTTTTTTGCACTACGATTAGTATAAATGAACGACGAAGGAAATACATTTTTTCTACTTATATTTTTTTACCTTCTCCTCCTAGTACCTTAATTTTATTATATATATTACAAAATGAATTAAAAAATTTTTTTGGAAAACATTCTTCAAGAAAATTTTTATTTTTATTTCAAATGCTTTCTGCGTGTAAAAAATCAGGGAATTTTTTTTGAGATTATGGGTATTTAAGGCAAAAAAGTGATCCTTTAATTTAAAAAAAAAACAATCGAATGAAACACAAAACATATATACACGTAAGAATTTACAAGTACCAAAATTATTATCCAAAAATCAAAAATGAATGCATTTTTCCAAGGAATTTGATTTTTTCTCCAAAATTTTGTGATCAGAAAAAATATTACCCAAAATTGCCAAAAAGCACCTGATCTGGCAACACTGGATTGGATAAAAATGACAATTCGCATTTGGCAATCTTACCATAGAATTAAAAAAAAAATTGTCTCATTTGGTGGATGGCGTGTTTTGTTTAATTTTTGAGGTTATGAATTAATAAAATAAATATGGGAAAAATCAAGAAATCAAAGCCTAACAAAAATAAAAAAGTTTTAAATCATGATAATTCTGATGAAGATGAGCAGTTATGTGTTGATACAAAGGAAAACGCTGTTCAAACAGTTTTAGATCAGTTACAGGTTATAATCTTATGTTCTATATTCTTGTAAAGAAATTTTCAGTCTTAAAATTATGCATTTACACAATAAAATATAAATTATATGTATGGGACGTCATTAAAATAATTAATTTTACGCATTGTAAACAGTGATATCTTTTGGTAAGTGATGTATATATATATCATTATCACATTAATTTCCAGGCAGCTAATGTTGAAGAGAAGTATTGTGGTTTGCAAACACTTGCATTACTTATTGAAACTTCTGAGCATTTGGATCAAGTTATCACTCAAGGTGTTGTCAAAGTAGCTGCCCCGTTGTTGATGGATGCAGCTGGATCTGTGCGAAATGCAGCTTCTGGTACATTAAGGAATATGTCAGCATTGAGAATGGAAGTTTGTGATGCTATGATGGAACAAGATATTATGACACCACTTAAGTGTTACTTTCAAGAGGTAAATTTTAAAAGTTTATTTATATGTTACTATAACCTATCTATTGTCCACTGCTGAAGTTCATTTCATCACTGTCATATTAACTGTCCACTATTGTACAGGCCTCCCCATATGACTGCCTTTGCATTGATGGTCTATTACTTTATTACATAAATACCTCCTCCTCTCTTTTTCTCATCACTGAGGGTTTTGACCACATGAGGATGTTACTCTCATCACCATGGTTCTCCAAGCTGTGTGGTATTCAGCTATCCAAATACACTTTTGGGTATACTGTGTCCGGCAAACTTTTTGAATGTGCCCTGATTTGAATATCATAAACCGTGCTAGCTGTAAGAGTGGGTGAGGGTAACACAGTAAAGTTCAAGGGTTGCCAGGAACCTATCATTATGATGGAAACTGAAATTGTCTCTTTAATGAAGTAGTGTAGCATTATCTGTAGTAAAAATATGTGCTTAATGCTCCTTGATCATATAGAGAAAAGTTTAACTGATACAGTTAATTTTTTTCTATACATCGTTCACCTCTGAGGTGATAATGGCATTTCTTTGTCATATCAATCTTAAATTATAATGCAGACTTTATGTTACTAATTTGTGGGTGGTATGCTGTATGTAACTGGATTAAATTTATTATAATTAAATTACTTTTACATTTTTTTTTCCATATGATTCCAGTATGCACAAACATGGACACCTGATGTAACATCTAAGTTTAAAGATGAGGATATTGATACATTTATTAATTGCACAAATTTGCTCTTGAACCTATGTGAGAGTTCAGGTAATAACATTTTATTTGGAACTTTTTTATTCTATTTTACTATAAGAGGAAAGATTTGATTGTTTGTAATGGATAAACTAAAAGCAAAAATCCTATCTATGCATATAAAGCCAGGCTGGATTATCTTTCACAATAATTTGTATATTGCTATAGACAAATAATCAAATTCAGTCTGATAAAGAATTGAAGGTTTTCCAAAACTGCAAAAGAAGATATTGCTAGAAAATAACATTTTACAACTTTTTAAAAATCTTATCTCTTTAAATCTGCTTACTTAGGGAAAATATACTATAGAAACATTAACTTTTTAAAACAAAACCTGATGACTGATTTGTAATTTTATACAATATATATAATTATTATTCTGTTTTTGTAGTTTTTTACTATATTAATTTTGTGTCATTTCAATAATATATTAATTTATTTAAATTAATTATTTGCAGAACTGGCTATCAAATATCTTGAGCAATATAAAATATTAGATGTATTTCCTAGATATTTAGACATTGGTGTATTTGGCAGTGATACTGTCGCAGCAGTCTTGCAATGTTTATTTGTGGCCATAGAAGACAATCCTCAGGCAATGCAGCGAGTTAAAAACAATTCAGAAAAACAATTGGAGCAACTCTTGTCTATGGAGGGTAGTGACCCTTCTATATTACTAATAAAGACTCTAGCAGCAGGAGTTGTTATAAATACATGTGGCGGGATCATCACCACTTTACCAGTAAATTTTATGAATGAGATTATTTCAATATTAGCTAAGACTCTATCTATGGATCATAGACTGGCTTGTAATCATGTTTCAAGTAATGTTCCACTAATTAATGGTGCAGGCAAGTTAGAAACACTTAAAGGGAAGGAGGCACAGATTTTGGATAGTCAATTAAAATCAGTTTCCCAGATGTTAGATGCACAGCAAAGAGCAATTGAAATTATTGCAAATATTTGTTCATGTGAAGGTATGGTATTTTATTTATTATATATATATATTTGCAAATATACAATAGAATCTCAATTATCTGGATTAAATTAACCCAATTAAATAATAAATGAATTTCTATATTATTTTATTATGTAAAGGGTTTTACAAATGTCATTTAGACAATATGATGAAAAAAATAACGACCTATGAAGATAATGGATTACATAGTACTTATTTACTCAATTAATACATAATAACATTTCTGAATCGGTAATTAAGGCCCTGAAGAGGAAATCCTAATAATTAAATATTCGGATAATCGAAATACTACTGTAAATTTAATTTTTAATGAGTAAACTTAATAATAAATTAATGTGTGTGATACGTGAGTGGGCAGGGGTAGCTATCCAGATGCTTTATTGCGAAATCCTTCTCAGATAAACTCGTAGACAATGCCATGATGTCCGTGTGCGAAGTCCATTTTATACACTTTAAATAATTATCTAAGATGTTCAATAAATAAATTATACAACCAATATCGCTTACGCTGTTCATTGGACCATGTCATCAAAATGTAAGTAGTTCTATGCGTTGTAATAATTAATAAATCTTTATAGATAGTGATGATTCGTTAAATGGAGGTGATTCATCAGACAGTGAAGAGTTGGAAGGTGATATGATTGATAATGGCGAAGAATCTTTGCTTGTTGAAGATAAACTGCCACCAGAGATTATGGAGGCTTTTGTTTCTTTAAAAATATTTGAGAAAATTTCGGCTCGAGCACAGTTGCCAGCACAGAATGTCATGTTGATATTAAAGGAATATGAAGGATCACAGTTAGTCTATAAAAAGTATGTATTAAACTTTTCATCCTGAATTATGTATATAAAGTGTTACTTTATTTGTAAAATCCATCTTATAACTAACTACAGCATAAAATTACAGTTTCATTAAAAATGTGTAAAGGATAATCGTATAATGCAACTCTGTCCATTTTATTTGTTTGTTTATTGTTACAATTGAATTTGGAGTATCTTTAAATGTCGCGTTGTTATGATTTAAATTGTTAAGCAATGTAAATTGCATATTTATTTTAAATTTAAGGTTGCAAACTTTACAAACACGGGCTCTCTTATGCATAAACAACATTATTTCAACATTACCAATCGAGGGTCTTGGTGGTGTGAATGGAGTCTATAAAATTTGGGTTGATGCTGGAAAACTGGTGTTTCAACAGAATTCGGACAACTTTAGTCTTATTGAATCTGCTACAGCTGTCATGAGAGCAGCTTTGGATAAAATTAAACTAAGAGAAAATGGCAACACTAGTGAATGTAATTTATTCGGTGATATGGCTTTATCTGATATTGAGGTAAGTTGCTGCAGTTATCTAGCTATTTAACTTAAAATAAGTTTGAAAATCAAATTACATAGTGTATATTTTATTACAGGTAATGTTGATAGGCATTAGAGAGTGCCAAATGCCTGAAATAAGATCAAACCTACTCAGAATGATTGGAATGTTAGCTCTTCTATTTGTGAATAATTTAAACGAAACCACTACAGATGTCATATGCAAGATAACAGAGTTTATTTTGGAGCAGGCGCACAAGGAAAACGAGGTGTGGGTGTTAGCTGAAGCTTTAGATACCTTAATAGATCTTTATTCTGAAGATGAAACTGATGAGATTGCTGCTAAAGTGAAACTAGTGGATAAGTTGACTGTATTAGCACCTATTATTAAAAATAAGGTAAGGATATGTTACACATACATACCAAATTTAGTGTTTAACCATAGTGGTTTAGCTGTTAAGCTACTAAAATTGGTATAAAAAGAACAGTGATGCTAAGAAGTAATAAACTAATTTTGTTATTTATAATATGCTGATATTAGTAAGGATACTTTGCATATGTCAATCATGAGAATTGGTTAAGCCAGGGGTTGGTAACCTTTTGAGTCGAAAGAGTAAAAAATTACAATTTACAAAATTTTTGTTTTTAAAGGGCCGCAATAATGTTTTTTCCCAATAATAAATAGTGATTGTATAAATATAGTTTGGTGCCTAATCCTCGTTAATCGATTCAGATTTTTTTGTTTATATAAAATAAATAATACTTGCATATGGAACTAAAGAGCCGCAGTTTCACATCCAAAGTGCCGCATGTAGCTCGCGAACCGTAGGTTGCCGACTACTGGGTTAAGTCGATAGCTAAGGTGTAAAAAATATATTCATATTTATCAATTCATAGTAGTATTCTTAGAAAAGCATTTTGTTTTAGTAATTAAGGGATTTGAGGTATCATATTTTAGTATTATTTAGTTAACCTCTAAATGCACATTCTTTTTTTATGCAACTTAGAATGGCAAACAAGCTGACGGCCCACTTGATGGAATGTGATACTCATCCTCTATAGACATGAGCAGTACCATGGACATAACAGAGTATACTATTTTGTCCATGATACCCTCCATGCGTTGCGATTGCTGAGGCTCAGGTGTTATTACTCTGTACCCTGTAAATTCACTATCATATCCCATTTTTCAAACCGAAACACAGCCATGCAAACACAACTGATTCACGGTAGAAACACGAATGGGATAGAGGTGCAAACGATTTTTGTACAAATTCACCCTCTGGTATTGTTTTACAAAAAGTAAAGCAATAACATAAACGTTGTGTAATTAGGTTATACTTTGCTGAAGGTTTCCAAGGTCTGCAATACACCGTTCATATAGCATCTTTGCTTAATCACTAGGATTTTTTTTTATTTGATACATATTTGGTAAAACAGATAGCTAAATTCTGTCATCATAATAATCAATTACTAAATAATGATAATTTTTTTAGGCGAGGCAACAGAAGAGACTCCCAAAAGAGTATAAAGTTCTTGTCAGCACAGTCGTTTCAAACCTACCAAGATTTATCAAGTATAAGAAAGGCAGAATAAGTTGTTTATAAATGAACATAAGTTACCTACTCATATATATGTGACGATATCTAAATGGTATTAATGTTGAAATATTATTTGTTTTACTTTGTAGTATATTATACAATATACTTTTAATAAATTATATTTTTATGAAATTATGCATTAGTTTTAAATTTATGTAACTTCAAATCAGCAAAACCAATTGTGCTGAGTTTCCTTACTTCTGGTGGCGAAAAGCATTCTTAATCCTATTATATATTCCTGATAATTATTATTTCTTATAATTAAACAAAATAAGTCTTATTAACTATCCAGAAGGAAAGGGATTCTTTATAATGGGATGTAACAGCCTCGTTTTTAGTAATATATACCGCTGATAGGGTATCAGGATCTGCACGTGGTTCCCTCTGCCTTAATTGGCCGTCCTGGGCGGGGGTCATCTTCAATAGACGCTCTTCCTTGTTTGAAAAGACCATGCCACTTGTAAACTATAGTTTTACAAGGGGCAGAGTCTGCGTAAACTGCTAACTGAGCTGAGGTGTTTAATAAGTGACTACCTGGACGAGTAAACCAACTTTTACCGCGAACATTTTAACCTCTTCTCGTATAGTCTTGTTTCAATAGAACTTAATGAAAAGGAGTTTTGTTAATATTATTACAGAAACACTCTTTAAATAGAATAAGTAACAAATTGAAATAGATGGATTAATCGAGTTTGATTTGTACTTTTGGATATCAGCAGAATATCTTATGACCGAGTCAATTATTCGTTTGTCTACATTATCATTATGTTCTTTTGAAACAGACTACTATTTAATGAAATAGGGACAGCGAATAAACACATTCTTACCAGTACTAGAATTTATTAAATAACAGTGACTGAAATGAGGAACAGTAATATAATCCCAACATGAAAACAATTACATACTTATATTTAAATAGTAATAAATCTTGTACATAATTTATTATTGCACAGCTAAATTAACTTAATTAAATTATATGTGGATATATTTTCATACACACCATCACTAGTCTATTAGTGTCTGAATTATAGCTATTTATGTATATTTTATCCTTATAATAATATTCATTATGTACATTTTGAATAAATAAATCTTACGCTACCTTGTCGAGCATTTGCTTTATCAATGCATCAAAATAGGTATTATTAGTTTTGGTATTACGCATGAATCATGTGTATGAATAAAGTGCAATTCAAAATGTATATAATATTACACTAAATTCCTGCTGATCTATACACTTATACAGCTTATGCGCTGCAAAATTTTTGTTCAAGTGTACTTTGGTTAGTCATATCACATATCAGTAACATTAATACAAATGATTGCTAACATTCCCACATAATTATATTTATATAGTAGCGTTATTAATAGTATTTAATAAATTATTTTTATAAAAAAATAATGTACATAATGCTTAGTTATCACAATGATATCTTAACCTATTAATGCTACATATGGCAGACTGATGGTTCCAAAAGGCTCGTGTCTTATTTCTTAAATGAATTTCGAAAGCCATGAGATCGAATTAATAGGAAAGTACTTTACTCAAAATTTTTAAAATATTTACAGACTTCAATTTTCTTTGTCTAGGAAATTTTTCTTTTTGTTTCCTGTAGTGTCTTCGGTACAAAAAAATATGTTATAAATACTACAGTAATCGTAGTTTTAAGTTTGAATGTCGCCATTTTCGGTTATCGACAAAGTTATGTCCCCGTGATGACTTCTTCTCGGTTTTGGTATCGGATTTGGAGATGAAATGTCGTTCTTATCAAATATTCGTTTTATATCTGATACAGAACGCCTTTGAATAGTAAATTCTACATCCTCTGCAAGCGCTGTATTTAGCTTACTTATTTCTCTTTCAAGCTCTCTAGTGGCTTTATCGATTTCTATAAATTCTTTTTCTGTGTTCGAAAGTTCGTCAATACTTTGTTTTCTCGAAGTGTTTTCATACAATTTGCACACTACTTTTTGCGGCTCTTCGTTACCATTAGCATCTGTGTTTATTTTATCTTCGTTTAAATTTATATCGCATTGTACGTAACTACCATCCAAAGTATTTGTAAGACTTTTACTTCTTTTGTTTGAGAGTGTATGAAAATCTTCCAAATTTCCTCGTCTTAGTTTAATGTCGTCGTCATTAACGCTTGAATTTCGTCTGTATTTTACAATATCTACTTTGGAAAATGCCACGTTTTTAAGGATATCATCATCTGAATCTGCAGTTTTTACTGTGTTTTCATTATTTAGCTGTGAGTCTTCCTTTTCATTTTCTATTATATCAAAATTTTCTTGTAAGTCTTGAGTGCTTACGCGAGTATCTATAGGGGGTTCTCTGTTGAATTCTTCTTCGATGTGATCAGTTACAGTAGATTCTTCTTTCTTTTTTATGTCTTCGTCTTCAACAATTTTTAATTCAATATTGCAGTTTATGTCTTCTAAGTCATCGTCACCATTAATTTTTTGTGATTCATTAGCAATACTAGTTTCTGAAGTTTCGCTGTTAACCTGTAAAATACAAAATCTTTATGTTATTATATGTTGTAAGCCTGTATGATTTTAGAATTGATATTATTTGTAAGAAAAGTAATATTTTCGATTACGAAACTCGTGATTGTACTGTGATAAAGTTATCAGTAGATTGAATAGTTTGACCATTTTGTTTTATCGTTTAAGTCTAACTATATAAAACTTATGTACCGAAATATCAGCAGTGGTTGTGGTCACGGGAGGCAAGGGCGCAGCGCGTTTTTTACGACGTGGGGCTTTCACGGGAGGAATTGGTTCATCTTCATCGAACGGGTTTGTACTCCCCACGCTCATTCGTGAGCCTGACAGTTCACTGCGAGCCATGCGAGGTGTAGCACTGAAATTAAATATAAGAATTACGTAAGATAACAAATAAGATACCAGCGTCGCTTCATCGTTTAATACTTCCTTCCCTTTTTTTCAGGTGTGATAAATAAACGATATTTATAATATAAGACATAAAGTGCAAATCCCAGTACACATTTCTATTTTTGTCTCCAAATTTTTGTACAATAGCTAAACTTGGGTATGTATGAAAAGATTGAAAGAAAGATATTTGCAGTCGAAATACGAGCATTGACCGTCTACTATTTGGTCAAGAGTCTTTTGAACTGCCGTGATATAATTTATAAATGTGAATGAAGCAAAAGCTGTATGTGACTGTTTACCATCAGATGGACTAAGGTGGCAAACAAATATAGAGCCCACCTAAGTAACTAGTAAGCGGTTACCGTAGTAGTTGAAATCCCTTTAACTTTTTAAGAATCCCTTTCTGTACTCTCTTGGAAAAGCCTTGACAGGGAGCTCATTTTATAACCTGAGTGTATGTTTTTTTGTTTGCCACCTTCGTGGTATAAAAAAGTAAAAGCTCGGTTCCTTCTACTTACTCTTTACAGAACTTGGTGTAATGAGAGATATAAGAACGGTAATGACTATAAATTTTAAAACTTGATAAATGACAATTTTCCTGCTAATTTTATACATCTGTAAACGCCACCAATAAAATGGCGTATCGAATATAAATCTTACCAGCTCATATACTTTTTAATGCCTTCTATTGAGATCGATTTAGTACAATGCTGTTTTCTATATTTTAATTGATTTCTTTCTATTGGAACTAAAAGTTTGAAATTTTGCGTAGTTTATAAGGTAACGTTGGTGAAAGTGCCAAGAAAAGAATTTTAAATTTGAAATGGGAGATAACGGGTTCCGCGAAACTGAAATTACGGGAAACAGGTAAGGTACTATATATATCTATTTAATTACGTTTACCTAATTAATCTTATAAATTTGCTACTTATCGCATTTATTCCAACATAATGTTATTGTAACGGTGACTTACTGATAATGTATCAGTACTTATCACAATAGTGTAGACACTGCTGCTCCTACATGCACTGCGCGACTATACATACAATAATAAAATTGCAACTAGATAATGTTTGTACATAGGCAATGGAAGACTATGTAAGGAATAGAAACCAAACCAAAATTTTTTTACCATTTTTATCTGTCTATGTGTTTATTCCGACATAACACAAAAACGATTGCACTAATTTGAATGCAGTTTCCACATTTCCGTTTCTATGTGTGTGAAAGATGAACTTAAAATTTTGTGTAACTTAATATTTTGATACGTTAATTGAAATTATGAAATTAATAATATAGCTTTTATTGCCTATGTATTTGGGTAATATTCATTTAGACGATACTATGTATATTTGGATTATCTGTTTTAATTCGTGAGGCTTTATCTTTGGTAGTGTTGATCAAAGACTAAATACAAACACCGTGTTTCAACTAAACATACTTTGTGTATTACAAATATATGTATATATAACTATATATAGAAACACGGCTATATATTGTGTAGATTTCACAATAAACGTTTCCATGAAAATACATGTCGTAAGCAATGTTTTGCGATATGTAATTTGGTTGAAATGCGGGGGAAAAGTATCTCAGTATCTCAGTACTTAGTATCTAACTAAACAACCAAGCCCACACGATGGAAATATTATTCAAATAAGGCTGTAATGGATATATTAAGTCGAAATCTAACGAGTGTTCATTAAACTGTAATAATAGTCGAAAAAATTACGAAAATAATTTTTGTACCTTTTCACTAACTAATTGATCACGCGACGCTATTGCATAGCGTGTATTTCGAGTTTTTGACCTATATTCTCGTTTTAAATATACTAGATTGAAAAATTTACCTCCTGTCCCGACGGCTCTATTTGCCGGGGTTTCGAATCCACATTTCTTAACTAAGTGGTGGTTAAAAAATATTTTCAAATATTCTCGTTTGTTTAGTAAGGTCTTGCCTAAGTATGTGCATTATGACTAATCCTAAATCTATAGGTCTATTAGACATGAACTATGGATAATACAGAATGTACTATATTGCTCTTCTATGGCATCTTTCATGCGTTTCCATTGTTACTTCTAAGTATACCATATAAGGTATTCCATATTAAGTGTAAAAGAGAAAACCTATCAGGTCGACTTCCACGTGGTTTGCAGCGTCGCGGTTAATTATTTATGAATTTCTTATGATAATTCGACTAACCTGCTTCATGCGCACCTAACTAACATACCTTACTGATCCCCGGTCAGCGTATGCTGATAGGGCGAATTACTCTTCCATTTTTACTCCATAGAAAAAAAATGCGGAGTAAAAATTTTTGATTTCATACTAAATTTCATGTTTTGTATTGGAATTAGTTTTTCTATATATTCTTAATACATTTGGAAGGTTAAGGTGCAAATGAATATGTGTACTGTTACCTAGTTGAGTTGACTTCGTAGTTGCTAGGGCTGCGCAGGCGTTCCTGAAACCGTGAGCGAGGTAGAGGCGTCACAGAGCCACCATATACGTATCTATCAGCGGTCAATCGTCTTTCTGGCGACGCCACAGTGTTACGAGCCGGGTTCGCTGCCATTGAATGTGATGTATCTGTATGGAAAATATAATTAAAATACTACTACCTATCTAGTTACAATTCGTAATAAGGATGTAATGATAATGTTTCTCATGCTTTTATCCTTAAGTATGAGATCCTATTAGGATCGGGAAACATTGTTTTGCCTCGTACCGGGGAGGTACTTTTTATCCAGATAAGAAAATGGTTCTCTTATCTGGATAAAAACTACCTCTTACTTAAGGATAAATGCATGAGAAATGCCTATATTTATTACGAATTATGACTAGGCCTTCTCAAGAATTTAAGAAGACTCAAACAATAATTGTAATACGAAAAATGAAAAATATTTATTTTTGAAGTGAGTAAGGTACATTTGAAATATTTATGTAAAATTTTTATTTATTATAATACATGTGTATAATAATTAACAATATGTAGCAATTTCTATATTTGAGATTAAGTAGGTACAAATAAGTAAAACACAATTGCACTGAAGTATGTAATACTCTATCTCAATGCCCTTATGCATAATGCATCATGGGTCAATGGGGCGACGCATACAGAGAATAAGTAATAAATGATAATAATAAATAATTCACATTTATTACAGCAATACTCACGTTGCAATGTATTTCTATATTCAACCACGCTATTGTCACCGTTGACTGTTGGACTGTTGGGTTTTTCTTTTTCTTGCGCCTGTCCTTTCTTCCCCTTCTTCATAAACGAACGCAAACTCCTGAAAGCGAAAATTATAATATAAACCAAGGTCGTGTACCGTATTTTTCTATTTATATGTATATGCTAATGTTAAAAATATATACTGGAAATAAAAAGTAAGTACAATTTTATTTTATTAGACAATAGTTTTATTAGTATACACCGCTTCTCAAAAGAAGTGTCTATCTAAATAAAACATATAAAAAAAATAATACTATTAGAAATTTATTATTTGTTACATTAATAAAAGAAAATAAGTAGAGGTAAAAATATAGATAATAACTATGTAGTTAGATGTGATTTAAGTGCTCTGATTTCCGCGAATCTTCAAGTGTGTATGGCAACATGATTACACGTTTGGATTTATTGTTTACTGTTATGGGTTTCTATATGAAAACTCTATAGATAACTCTTTACGAATAGCCTATTATATCTTATTATATAAACGATCATCCTAGCATAAAAATATTATCAATTTTGGTTCAGTATCATCTGTATTATATATAAATCTGCACCTATAATTTTTTTTAAATGTGCAGAGGTTACAAAATCTGGCCTCATTATATTATTTTTGTTATACCTAACATAAACATACTTTATTCTTGTATAAACAAATATGTAACTAAAATATTCATTAGTGGTAGTTATTTGTTATGATTCACCAGTACCAGGTTATGTATACCATCACTATTTCTATAGTGTTTAGAAATGATTCGATTTGAAGTTGTAAAAAAACTAGAATTAGAATATACCCCCCATGCGTTGCTATTCCTGAGGACTCAGGTGTTATTCCTCTGTACCCTATAAATTCTCGCCATATCTCACCCTTCAAACCGAAACACAGCCATGCAAACACAACTGCTTTACGGTTTAAACACGAATGGGACAGAGGTACCCAAGCAAACGACTTTTGTACAAAGTCTAAATATTAAAAATGTAAAGGCTTTTCAAATTGCTGTCAATTTCAAGTATTTGAAAATGTGTGTTTTTAGACATGAAGGCGTAGTCTCTGACATTATAGCGTAATCCAGTATCTATTAATGGTAGGGCTTAAATGGTATAATATATTTTACGAAGTGTAAGCATATCTACTTTGCATGAGCGTCGCGAGTATTAGGCAACAATCAAGATTCCCTTTCCATTTTTATCAGATTGTTTCCTACTTATATTAGACAGTTAGAAGATGAAATACCCATAGGTATAAGATTATTTATTGTACGTGAACTCTCGCGATCGACTAACGGATGTCTGTAGGCGCAACACTGACAAAAGTAATGGAAGTTTAGTGCACTTGATTCCACTTGAGCGGCCGTAATTGTACCGTGACGGGCAGTCGGATGAACGACCATCGCAATATCGCCCACTAAATTCAGAATTTCGGACGTTACTCTGTGTTTCTGAAATTCTCCAGGTGTAAAATTTTAGATTAAATATTGTCACGAAATTTAGGTGTATTAATAAGAACTTGTTTTGCCATATTTCTACTGTTTGCTGATATTGTAGACATGGAAATTCTGTCCTTTTCTGGATGGTAGAGATACTTGTGGATACTTCAATAAATAGCTTCGATGACCGATCAGAACTAACAGGTCACTGAACTGTCTGATACAACGTTCATTCTAAAATGAATTAAATCAGTTGTGTGTGTGTATTAAATTAAATTTGTTATTACCTGTATTATCAAAAGGTTTTTTAAAAGTTGCAGGAAAAGAAAACAACAGCCCATAAACCCGTTTTTTAAATCACCTGTAAATTCAGTACAAAATTAAACTAACTCAAACTCATATCTTAATTACCTTAAAAATGTATAGGTTTTTGTTATGATTTATAAATTAAGTTGATTTCGATTACAATTAGACGTCGCATTTGGTGGAAAATGTACAGGTGGAAATTTTATATTTAATAAATTAATAATAAATTTAATAAATTTTATAATCTTTCAATATGATGCGTTTCCATCTACTTCAATGTAGCTATGTAACTAGTACACCTTGTTCTTGTCATTTACTCATCCGGTCATCTAACCAACAAGTTGTTGCCGAGAGATGATCTAATGAAGATTTTATTGTTCCTTATTTTTATTTTATTGATTTATAACTGACTATAAAATATACTCTTTCAAAAGCACTCATTGAAAATGTAACAGCTTTGTTAAAGTTATCACTCAAACATTGTCTAAATGATATTAGTGACAAATCAAAACATTTAATAAAATTAGAGATTACCCTTTCATACCATTTTTTTTTATGGGTGAAAATGGTATGGTAACCCCGCATGTGCTAAAGGGATACGCTGGCGGAGCACCAGTGAAGGGTGTAGATGAGAATGAAAACAGGCCAGTTAGCCCATCACGATGAATTCATCAGAATTAACCATGATAGTTACCAGAGGGAACCGCGAGGAGGTCGATCTGGTTGGGTATATTGCTAGCAATGAAATTCTCAGTCTCCATTACTAATAATCCCTCCCCCCCTTTCATAGCATTTATTATAAAAATACCTCTGTATATTGTGGGCGTTCTTATCATATTCTGTCTATATCGCAGTATAATATTGACAAGGTCAAATTTAATGACTTTGCAGATGATCTTCAACGCCTAGCGTGTTTATGAGTTACGTTTATCGCTTATGACAGTCATCAATTGGAGACGTAAACAACTGCATGTAAAATCTAGACTAGTTTGACCCAGTCTTGAACCTGTTCACGATAACACTATCAACTAATAATTATCTAAAGGATGCAGTAAATATAAGAGATAAGTGAACAAGTGTGCACACATCTGCACGGTCATCACAAGAAATTATAGTCGAATAGTTTTTAATGGGATGGAAATAGAATTCACAAGGAATTAACTACGATTGTTTCTTGATGGTGTATTGCTAACAATGAGGCCATTCCATCTCCAATGCCTATAATCACTGTTCCCATAGTCGTGTAGTCAGTACTAAACGAGGGGGTCTACCATGAAATGAAATTCCGAATTTTCGGGCTCAATTTCGTGTTTTTGTTCATACCGAAATCGTCCCTGTAAATGAAGCTTAACATTTCGTTTGTCATAAATTCTACCATAAAAGTCCAAAGGAACGATTCTTAAGCATTTTTAATATTTTTAAATGGTATGTATTGTGTAATTGGAACATCAAATTTGTGTTTCGTTCGGATCCGAAATTTCGGAAAACATTTCATGGTAGGCCCTCAGTATAAACTCAATTGTCTAAAAGAATCTTACGTAACAAGAAATCGATGTAATCTGGCTATTTGCTCATGTACTTTGCATATTATAATACATCACATATAATTATATAATACTATGTAAAGTCATTCGACTCTACCTATATTAACTAATTATTAACATTAACTGCATTGTTGTTTCAGGGGAAAAACCTATTGTAAGATCTCGAGAATATAATGATATTTATTATCGTCAGTGAAGTTCTAATGCAGCATGCAGTTTCCATGATTTGATTTGATTGTTAAAAGTAGTGTAAAACGAAACAGAAATCTTAATATATTGAAACTTATTATAATAAAAATTAATACAATAAAAACAAAAATAGACATTTTAACCAGTTTTCTTTTGCTTTTCTGTATTGGTGTTAAAATTTCACTAATGTTATATTAGTAATAAAAAAGATTTTGCCTACCTTTATTATAAATATTATACTCTTTAGGGTTCCATAAAAAAAGATACGATTTAAAGCTTTTGTATGTATATGGTTATTTATTTGTCTGTAGTGTGTTATATATACGAAATACGAGATTTATTTTTTTGTATGCAACTTAAAATGGCAAACAAGCTGACGGATCACCTGATGGAAAGCGGTAACCGTCACCTATAGATATGAGCAGTACCATGGATATAACAGAGTATACTGTTGCGTCCATGATACCCTTTATGTGTTGCCATTCCTGAGGACTCAGGTGTTATTCCTCTGTACACTGTAAATTCACTGCCATATCCCACCCTTCAACTCCTACTTGTAATTCACAAATTTTCATAAAGTCACACATAGAATAAACAGGAAAACAAAAATGTTTGCCTTTCTTTCTCTCTTATTGGAAATTTTTACGAAGATATGATACGTTGAGTTTTATCACTGTACACGTACATTTACACACAGGTCCTTAGGTATACCTCAAAAACTACGACCTTCACAGGTGGTGTTAATAAACAAGTTCCATCTTCTAATGAAGCTACGAACATCAAATGACCTAGTTGTACACCGGAGATATTTTATCGTAATGTTGCTAAACTAGTGACTCATATTTATCCTCTTTTATCTTTCTGAAGTCATTCTTTAGTGCGAAACAAGTGTACTTTGTACATTATTTAGTATTAAAATAAAGGAATAAAGTAATATTTATTAGACGTATTATTCTCTTTATAACACTTCTTTGTACTTTGACGAGCTGTATAGGTCTTTATGTTTGAATTTTAATAATTGTAAGTAATTTAATTTATAATATTCATCTTTATTTTTGTTTATTTCTATTTACTATATCTAGATAAATGAAAGTAATAAAAAAAAGATCTTATTTTGAATTTATATATGAAATTATAAACTAAATAATAAGTTTACGAATATAAAATTACGATCTCCTTATTATAAGTTTAGGGTAAGATTAAAAAAACAAAAGCATAAAAATACAACGGTATGATTTTTAAGTCTATAGATTCTCTACGCAATTTAGTGATTTCAGAACCCATTATCATATCAACTTGGGATGAAAGGATCTTGAGTGGTGACTCAGTATAAACAAACGCATCTTTGCGTTTGTTTATACTGCGCGATATCTCGTGTGCGATGCGGGATGCGGGTTCCCTCTGCGTTTGTTGAACATCGACCTCAAAAATATTGCATTGTATCCATAGATGCTGCTAACCAGTTGATTCAGGGACGTACTTTGCAATAAAATATGGAGGAGGTTTATATTCAGCAGTGGAAGTGAAGTAAACGTAATGATAGAAAGTACCTAACGTACGTAATGCTAGCGGAGCGGATTTCCTCAGAGTGGGTA